AGTGATATGTTGAGTACATGATATTGCTGCTTTCGAATGTTTAAAGAGATTTAGAAATAATTTAAGTGTGCAAGTGGACTCATCAGGTTCGCCGGTGAGGTATAAGTGGACCTATCTGGGACGCCGGTAGGGATTAAGTGGACTCATCCGGTACGTCGGTGAGGTATAAGTGGACCTGCAGGGATTAAGTGGACCTATCTGGGACGCCGATAGGGATTAAGTGGACCCATCAGGACGCTGATGGGGTATATAGGTGACCTACTTGAGATGCCAGTAGGGTATTTTGTGAAATCCTTTGAATTATGTACTGCCGTTAAAAGTGTTATAAGCATTTCAATTACTCGGATTATACTTAATTATGCATTTATTGAAAGTGAAACTGTTGATGCATTTCTATTAATAGATCTCATTTTGGAAAATATTGATATCTTTCAATCACGATTATTTTTGGGATTATGATGATCACTTATTGAGTAGCCAAACTCATCAAACTATGGTAAACATTTTTTCAGGATAACTATGGATTCATTTTGAGTGCTAGTCAAGATCAACCTTGGAAGATACTGTTGTTGTGGTAGCTTTCTTTATTTACTATGTAAGACCTCGCCACTGTAAATTTGTCCTATCAATAGATGTATATATGTTTTGTCCGTCACATCTCAGGAATAATAGTATTGTAAATTCATGGGGTGTGACATATGGCACCAGCGGTTAGGTCACCAATCTATGCAGCGACTTTCTTGTTGGTCTCCTGATTTTGCTAATTTATGTTTTTGTTTGAATAATTGTGATGTGTGCCATTTGGCAAAACAAAAAAGGTTACCTTTTTCCACTAATACTAATAGATGTTTCGAACCATTTAAATTGATTTATTATGATATCTAGGGGGGTTATAAAACTGCATATCTTTCAGGGGCGCATTACTTTCTTACTATTGTTGATGATCATTCACATTACACATGGGTTTATCTGATTCATTATAAGTCTGAAATGGCATATTTTTTAAAATCTTTTTGCGCCATGGTAAAAACTCAATTCCAATGCCAGGTTCAACAAATTTGAACTGACAATGGGACTGAGTTCTTGTCTCTAGATATGCATAATTTTTTTCTAACGCAGGGCATCCATTATCAACAGACTTGTGTCAACACCCCTCAACAAATGGGGTGGCTAAACGCAAGCACCGTCACTTGTTGGAAGTAACCCGCACCTTACGCTTCCAAGCCAACTTACCGTTGAATGTGTGTTCACTGCCACATATCTTACCTACACCTAAATTGTTTGGTCGAACCCCTCATGAGGTCCTTCTCGACTCCAAGCTATCCTACGCTCATTTACGGGTATTTGGTTGTCTTTGTTATGCTCACAATCATGCGCCGGGCAGACACAAATTTGCTCCCAGAGTATCTCGTTGTGTTTTCATAGGCTATCCTTTGCACAACGTGGGTACCGCGTTCTTGATCTTGAAACCCGCAAAATATTCACATCAAGAGATGTGTCTTTTGTAGAAGACAGATTCACTTTTCGTGAATTATCACAACAAGAGCCTAAGGCAACCACAATAGTAGCTCTACCCATAGCAGACAATGTTATGTTTAACTTCGAATCCGATCGTATTCCTAATCCTGCTCCTATCACATATCCTCATGTACCGACACTAGAACCACAACAAGAAACATCAATGAATGAACCTAGACAACCCACATGTGTTCGTAACATGCCAACACATTATAAGGATTTCGTTTGCTTTATGGTCCATCAAGAAGTCACGACAACTTCACCCACGACACAAGGCTCTTCGACAGGTACTTGTTACCCTGTTTCCAATTTTGTTTCGTATGCCAAATTCTCGCCACCACATTTTACCTTTCTTCAAGCTATATCTTCTCAAGAAGAACCCAAGTCCTTGACCAGTTTCCCCATTGGAAAGTAGGAATTGAAGCTGAAATTGATGCATTACAACAAAACAATACTTGGACATTGTAGTGTCTGCCTCCTGGCAAGAAATCCATTGGATGCAAGTGCGTATATAAAATTAAATACAAGGTCGATGGAACCGTTGAACAGTACAAAACTCGCCTTGTAGCCAAAGGATATACACAGGTCAAAGGGCTTGACTATCATGAGACATTTGCACCAGTTGCAAAGCTGGTCACTGTGCGGTGTGTACTTACTCTTGCATCCATCAGAAGATAACCCCTCTATCAGCTCGATGTGTACAATTCTTTCTTGCATGGAAATTTGCATAAGGAGGTTTACATGCAAATTCCACCAGGGTTTGCTTGAAAGGGGGAGACTCGAGTTTATCGACGTAGCAAATCATTATATGGGTTCAAGCCAGCTTCTTGGCGATGGTTTGACAAGTTTTCTTCCACTTTGTAATGCAGTTTGTTGCAGATTATTCACTATTCACCTTAGCTGTTGGAAAGACTTTCATTGTTCTCCTGGTTTATGTCGATGATACTATCATCACTGGCAACAATACCATATTCATTTTGTTGTTAAAATGGTTTCTTCACTCCAAATTCGGTATTAAGGATTTGGGAGTCTTGAAATTTTTTCTGGGCATAGAAGTCACCCATTCCCAAAGAGGAAACTTTATTAATCAAATAAAATGTGTTCTTGATATTTTCGTCGAAGCTGGACTCACAGATGCAAAACCCGTTGCTTTTCCCATGGACCAACACATTCGTCTTACTGCCACTGATGACGATCTCCTTTATGATCCTGGTCGCTATCGCCGTCTAGTGGGATGGTTAATTTATCTCACTATCACAAGGCCTGATATATTATATCCGGTCCTTATCCATAACCAATTTATGCGTAGTCCTCGGCAACCCCATTACATGGGTACTCTTCATGTACTTCAATATCTCAAAGGCATACCTTCATTTGGACTCCTTTTACCATCCAATTCCTCGCTCCAATAATATCTCACTGTGATTCTGATTGGGCCCATGACTCGGAGATCGATTACCGATTATTTTACTTCCCTTGGTGCTTGTCCACTATCATGGAACACTAAGAAGCAACCAACAGTATCATGATCTTCGCCTGAAACTAAGTATCGTATTATGGTTGTAGCTACATGTGAACTTGTGTGGCTCAAATCCTTACTTCAGAACCTCGATTTACCTCATCCTTATCCAATGTGCATATACTGCGACAACTATGTTGCTCTCCATATCGCTGCCAACCTCGTGTTTCACGAATGAACTAAGCATATAGAACTCAATTGTCATCTTATCTGAGAAAAAATATGTTCGAGCATTCTCAAAACCTCTCACCTCTCTACTAAGCATTAAGTCACAGACATTCTCACTAAAGAATTAAGTCACGAGCAATTTCAATTTCAATTTCTTCGCAGCAAGTTGGGTGTTACAGATCTTCACGCGTCAACTTGAGGGGGAGTATTGGGTGATTGGGATTGTGCTATCACGATTGGGATTGTGATATTGTAATTGTGAATTGGAATTGATATCACATGTTATATTTTCTATATAGTTGTAGATTATGATTGATATCACAAGTTGTATTGCCTATAGATTTGGATAGTTTGTTGTACAATCCAAAATTAGGATCCCTACAATCTTGGAGTTGGTTGTGAGCAAGTTGCATATATCATGTTGTAATACTCAATTGAATGTAATATACGATTTTCCAATTCGTAACATAGTTTTTACGAGTTTGGTCAAAACCTGTGATATTTCCTTTTAACACTATTATGATTATGTAAGAAATTGAACACGCTCATGTGTGCAACACAACAAATTTAATGGGAAATGTATACGGTAAGACCATTTATCTTTGGTAAAAGTAGATCACAGCTATTATCGACCATTAGATATAAAATCGGGTGGTTGAAGATGTGTCATTGATTAGGCACAATGTCTAAAATAAAGTTTCTCAAATATTGTAACACACTTCAATTCAGTAGATTTCACATCTAGTGGCTAAGAATGATTGTGACTTCTTTATACAAAAAGTAAATGGTCTTATAGTATACAATCCAAATTTAATAAAAGAAAGTATAGAATGAGACCATTTACCTTTGGTACAAGGTGATCACATTAATCTTGACCATTGGATGTAAAATTGGGTGGCTGCAATTATTCCATTGACCAAGTTCAAACTTCAAAATAAATTTTTTCGAATTTTGTGACACATCCAAGCTCTCAAATTTCACATCCGATGGTTGTAAGTAATTATGACGACCTTATATCAAAGGTAAATGATCTCATTGTATACAATCCCATTTAATAGCCCTTCACTTGTGTGCTTTATGTGGTTTGCTTTTTTTGTCTCACGGCATGTGGTGGTGTAGCATGTATGTAGGAAGATAATTATATTGAGCCGTCCTAAAGATGTTATAATGAAATGAAATGGTTACCTGGTTCTCAAAAGAAATTATACTAAGCCGTCCTAAGTAGAGCATTCACATGATGTGTAGCTCAAATTGTCCGTCCAAATTAGAAGGAAATAAGATTGATTGGCCTTGATTTTATTTTGTTTTTTAACTTTATTTCTTCTACAAACTGTGTTAAATTGAAACTTAGGTTTTTTCACTTCTCATTTAGGCATATCAACGAATAAAATAAAAACTAATTTTTGAGAAATAAAATAAAATCAAAATTTTAAAAACATTCAAGGGTATTTAGATTGATTTCTTTTATAATTTATTTTATAATTTTTAGGCACATCTAATTGAGAGGTATAAATACTGAAATGGATTGTATACAATGAAACCATTTACCTTTGATATAAAGGGGCACAATTACTTGTAACCATCGTGTGAAATCTGATAGCTTGGATGTATCACAAAATTCAATAAAAGTTCTTTTGAATTTTGAGCATTGTCAATGGAATAAAATGCAACCATCTAATTTCACGTCAAATGGTCAAGATTAATTATGGCCACCTTGTACCAAAAGTAAATAGTCTCACTGCATACTTTTATGTACTCAAATTTTCAATTTAATACAAGTCGAAAAACATTAAAAAAAAAAATTTTTAAAAAAAATGAAGTCATATCCATTCATTTTTTTCTAGTTCTATTCTTGATTGTTGCGACGTATTAGTGGGAACCATTTCTGAATTTACATTATAGATGTGGAAGTTTTTCACATCAATTGACTATGTGAAAAGCTGTGTTCGGATTAATTGGTGTGAAAAAACTCACACACCTAATCATATAGAATAGTCCTTTCATAGGAAAATACCTTCACAAAAAAACTGTCACGAATACCAAATGTACCCTAATAAAGGAATTGTTGTTATCCTCAACAAATGAAGCCCCTACAAATATTAAAAAATATTATTTCTACAATAAACTAAGAAATTTATCACGTATCAAATGGTTTCTAATTTACGTGTATCTTTTGCGTATGGAAAAAGTTTACATACGGTTGCAACCTTAAAATGTGGAATTACAGATGCACCTCAAAAATCCGTCTCAAAAGGTTGTTTTAATGTTGAAAAAACCACTAATTGATCATCTCAACATCGAGATATAAAAATATGAAAAAAAAAAAAAATGATTTTAAGTCTCATAATTAGT